TGGAGTTAGCCCCGCCCCCGGGGGTCGGGAGCTGCTGGGGTCCCAAGAGGAGAGGGTGTTGGTGGGACCTCACTCAAAAGTGACTTCATAGGCTGGGTGTCCTCTAAGTTTTGTGACTTCTCCTCTCCTCTCCTTCCCCACAACTTTCTCCCACTGCCCAGGGGGGCGCCCTTGAATCTGTGGCACCCAGAGGCTACCGCTCAAACCACGGCTGCCCTGTCAGGGTGATTCCCACGGCTCCCTAGGGGTTGTGCCCACTTCAGTTCCTCTTTGAGAACCACAGGTGCGTTCACGGTGGTGCTTCTGTCCGAATTCAGTGAGTCCTTCCTGTGTGTCTCCCCGGTGGATGTGTTTGGGTATTGGGTGATCCAAGGGCACCGCAGGCAGGGGCTTGGAGACCCATGGAGGACAATACATGTTTCTGGAAAACAGGTCAACAGATCTAGAAGGTGCTCAGAGATGTAGGATTGCAATTTTAGGGGCTTATGACAGAGGCGTGGTTTGGACAGAAGCTAGTCAGGAGCATCCCACACCCCAAAAGCAAGAAGGGGTTCATAGACTAAGCCAGACAAAGGTGGGGAACAGCAGCCAGCACATATCTGGCCCTTCGTAAACCCTAAGACCATGGCAAAGTCAGCTAAGGGACAGTCTGGGTATCAGTGACCAGAGCGTCGGAACAAGTGCTTGGCTGTTTGGGTTTTTGACATAGTGGACAGCCCAGGCCAACCTGGAGTTCAAGATCCTCTCACCTCCATCTTCCAAGCGCTGGGAATACAGGTGTGTGCCACGACTCTTAACTTTGGCAAACATTTCTTTTTTTTAAGATTCATTATGAGGGCTGGAGTGATGGCTTAGTGGTTAAGAGCAATAGGTGGTCTTCCAGAGGACGTGAGTTCAATTCCCAGCACTGCACCCACATGGCATTTCAAACAGTCTGTATCTCCAGTCCTAGAGGATCTGATACCCTCTGGCTTCTGTGTGCACCAGGCATGAACATGATGCACAGACATGCATGCAGGCAAAACACCCATACATATAAATAAATAAAATGTAAATAAAAACAAAATATTTTTAATTAATCACTATTTTCTTCTTAATAAAATGGGGATATGTGCACAGGGGTGCAGGTGCCCCCAGAGGACAGAGACTTCAGACAGATCCCCTGGAGCTAGGGTTACAGGAAGTTGTGAGTCACCCAACATGGGAATGGGGTCCTCTGCAAGAGCAAGCACTCTTGACAGATGAGCCGTCTCTCCAGCCCTCAGGTTTTTTAAAAAGGTATAAATTCGGAGCTTCGGGATGGCTCAGTGAGTAAAGAGCCTGCTGTGAGATGAGGCGTGAGTTGACTTCCCAGCACTCACAGAAATGTCAAATGTGGTGGCTCACCCCTGTAGCCCCAAGGTTAGGCTTCAGAGACAGGTAGCTCACATGCCAGCCAGTCTATCTGAAACTTCAAGCTCCAAGTTCAATGAAAGACCCTGACTCAGAACACAAGATGGCCCATGAGAAAGACACTGATGTCAGCCTCGGTCCTACACACGTGTATACATATGTGCATACACAACACAACCTCGGGCCTACACACGTGTGTACATATGTGCATACACAACACAACCTCAGGCCTACACATATGTATACATACGTGCACACACAACACACACAGAGGGCAAATAAAATGGAGGTGTAAATTCACTTGGGGGGCCTTATTTGGGGAGCGGGGCTATTTGGGGAGATAAGGTCTCCCTATACAGTCTAGCCTGGTCTTGAACACACTGTATAACCCAGGCTAGCCCTAAATTCAGGGCCTTTCTGCCTCAGCCTCCTGAGTGCTGGGATTTCAGGCATACACCACAATATCTGGTTATATATTGACTTTTAAGCCCCAAATTGTGAGAAACATGGATCCTCACTTCATAATAATGACACTGGAGATTCAGATCAGTGAAATTGGGGCAGTTTGTTTTATCAACTTGTAAGACCTTGCAAAGCCAGACATCAGCTTAAAACAGGAGCATACCAACTGAATATAAAGAACAGGCTCTTGGCCTTGGTGCAAGCCCCTCCCTCCCAGTCCTGGTTTGTTCTCAGTGATGAGAAAGGTACTGTCTAGGTCTTATTAAACCCTCTGCTATCTATAATCCTCTGGTTTCTTTCATTAAAAATAGATTTCTTTGTTTTCTGTGTACGAGTGTTTCGTCTGTGTGTATGTGTGTGTACCATGTGTGTGCCAGGTGCCTGCAAAAGTCAGAAGAAGGAGTCTGATTCCCTGGAACTGGAGTTGTGGATAGCTGTGAGCCATGTGAGTGCTCACAAGGAATCAAACTTGGACCTCTGGAAGAGCAATCATTGTTCTTAACCTCTGAGCCATCTCTCTGGCTCCTTGTTTTGTTTTTTTAATCTCTTAATAATGTGTATGTGTCTATGCATTCAAGTGAGGTATCTAAAGGGGTTAGAGATTTCGGATCCCCCTGAAGCTAGATAGAGTGACAGGGAGGTGTGGGTACTAGGAACCAAACTCCATCCTCCGAAAGAGCAGTGCCCTTAACTGCTGAGCCTTGTCTCCAGTCCCCATCCTGTTTATATCAGAGCTTATCAGACACATGACCTTGCTGTAGGCAAGATTGGCTGTTAGTAATTTTTTTTTTTTTTTTGAGACAGGGTTTCTTTGTATAGCTTTGGACACTGTCCTGGAACTCACTTTGTAGATCAGGCTGGGCTTGAACTCACAGAGATCTGCCTGCCTCTGCCTCCCAAGTGCTGGGATTAAAGGCATGAGCCACCACCACCCTGTTAGTAATTTTCTACTCTGGTGGCGCATGCCTTTAATACAGTTGGGAGGCAGAGGCAGGTGGATCTCTGTAAATTCAAGGCCAGCCTGGTCTACAGAGTGAGTTTAGGACCCTGTCGAGAGAGAAAGAGAGAGAGAGAGAGAGAGAGAGAGAGAGAGAGAGAGAGAGAGAGAGAGAGAGAGAGAGAGAGGAGAAAGGAGTCACAGTGTCACAGCAGAGACTACACATGTGGTTCCATACATTACAAACTCCTCCCTATTATAGATGAGAGAGCTACATTATTAGCAGAGTGAGGGCCCAGATTGTAGCTCAGTGGTAGAGCGCTTATCTAACACATTGTGAGGCCCTGGTTCTAATGTATAGAGCACACACACACACACACACACACACACACACACACACACAAACACACAAACACACACTCAGTATATTAGGGTCCAGAGACCTTAGGAATTGCCACCATCAACCTACCTTCTTCAAAGTTAAGAAAGGCCCAGAGGGCCTGTCCAAAGACTCAGCGACAGGACAGGAACTAGAATACAGACCCCCTCACTCCCAGTCCCAGACAAAAGCCACAAGACTGCTGGGGTGTGACACAGGGAAGAGCATATCCTCCATATCAGAATACTCTGGGTTGCATCCCCAACACCAGAAAAACTTGGAGTTTGGGGGCATCAAATCTCAGCCTCTCACTGTGGGCGCTGCAGTCATGGACTTCCGGTCCCCTCCACCGTAGCGCAGCAGGGGCCAGCTCCTCTGTGACTGTTTCACTTCATACTTTCACTTCAGGTGAAAACAAAACCCCGCCACACCTTTTCCTGAGAGTTTCCCGGCCCTCAGGTTTCTTCCCAGAAAGTCAGATGGCGTCAGGGTTCCAGCTACAGCCCGACACCAGCCCAGCAGGGACACGCTGTCAGGAACCACAGGTTCTGTGCTAGGATCTTCCAGGAGGTGTGGAAGCAGCCAAGCTGGTTGGTTCTCTTTAGTCCTGACATCTGTCCAGCATCAGCTTACAGCATGTTCTACCTCAGTTCTTATACTTACCTGTGGCTCTGAAGGTTTGGAATGATAATGACATGTTGATAAGACAGATGAATCACCCAATGGTAGTGGGATATGCCTTTAGTTCCAGCACGCAGGAAACAGAGGAAGGCAGATCTCTGTGAGTTTGAGGCCAGCCTGGTCTACAGAGCGAGTTCCGGGACAACCAGGGCTACACAGAGAAACCCTGTCTCTGTCTCAAAAAAAAAAAAAAAAAAAAAAGGAATTTCATTTATGGGCTGGAGAGATGGTTCAGCAGTTAAGAGCACTCACTGGCTGCTCTTCCAGAGGACCCTGGTTCAATTCCCAACACTCACATGGCAGTTCACACCTTTCTGTAACTCCTGTTCCAGGTACCTGACACCCTCACACCAATGCACATAAAATAAAATTAAATAAAATTTGAAAAATATCAACATTTATTTTTATGTGTCTAAGTGTTTTGCTTTCATGTATGTCTATGTACCACGTACCACATATGTGCCTGGTGTTTGCTGAGGTCAGAAGAAGGCATTGGATACCCTAGAGCTGGAGTTATGGACAGTTGTGAGCTGCCATGTGGATGCTAGGAACCAAACTGGTTCTCTGCAGCAAGTGCTATTAACCTCTGAGGCATCTCTTCCAGCCCCAGGTACTAGAACATGTGCATGCCTCTGTGTGTGTGTGTGTGTGTGTGTGTGTGTGTACTATTAATTGTTTTTGAGACCACATCTTATTATGTAGCTGGCTAGGAATTTGCCACATGGACCAGGCGTCCTCAGACTCATGGAAATCCCCCTGCCTCTGCCTCCCAAGTGCTGGGATTAAAGGCATGCACCACCATATCAAGCTGGACCAGCTTGTGCACATTCTGAAGGGATCAAATAGAACTTGCCTGTTCTCAAGTTCAGTTACTGCAATGGAGGTCCTTGGTCCACCTGGCCTCCCTAAGAATGGGTGGGTGATGTTATTGTCACTTTACAGATGAGAAGAGGGACTTGCCCAAAGTCACAGGATGAGAGTGACAGAGATGGACCCAGACCAGCTGCCTATGTAGCAAACCCTGAGTCTCTTTGTGCATTCAACACATCCTTGCCCTGGAAACAGGCCTTCTGGAAGACCACCATGTGGCCTCCAGAGGGCATTTCTATCTGCGTGTGGACCGGAGCTGGGTTTCCCGTTGCTCTGTGCTTCCTGTTGTTGTCTTGTTAGGATGTCCATCAAATGCATGCATTTCCTGCCCTTGCTCTGAATAGTAACAGTGGTCTGCGACCACACTGTGCCAGAGTGAGGCACAGACACCAGCCGCAGCCATCCCAGCAACCATCGTCTGTGCTCACTCTGAATGGGGTAAGGCACTCCCTAAAGGTTTTTATTTGTTGGTTTTTATTTATTTATTTTTGGGAGACAGGGTTTTGCTATGTTGCCTAAGCTGGCCTTGGACTCTTTATGTTACCCAACATCAAACTTAGAGCAGTCTTCCAGCCTAGAACTCACTGTGTCCTAGCCTCAGCCTCTTGGGTGCTGGGATTACAGGTATGTGCTCCCATGCCTCGCAATCCCAACCAGTACTTTTATTTTATTTTTTATTTCCTTATTAATTTGTTTATATGTGTATGGGTTTGTGTGCGTGATGTATATGTGGGTGGCGTATCTGCACACACGTGTGAGGGTGCACGTCCTGGATGTCGTGTGTCCTGCTTTATTGACATCTAACTTATTCCTTTGTAACAAGGTCTCTGGCTGAGCCCAGAGCTGGTGGTCAGCAAACTCCAGGGACCCTTCTGTCAGCCTCACCCAACACTGAAGTTACAGGTGACGTGTGTGTTTGGCCACTCTCTGCTTTTGATGAGAGTCCTGGGAGCTGAACTCAGGTCCTCAAGGGTGTCTTGTCCACTGAGCCATCTCTCCAGCCAGCTCCTGCAACCTGAAGTTTTAGAGTGTTGTGTAGATGAAACCACTTTTTGACTGGAAACAATATTTTCAAATTTTTATTACATTTTTATTTATTTGTTTTGTGTGCATATGAATATGTACGTATGTGGGTGTGAGTGTGCTGTAGCCTGCTTCTGGAGGTCAAAACAACCTGTGGGGGTTGCCTCTGTCCTTCTATCTTTATATGGGTCCTAGGGATCCAACTCAGGTTGTCTGACTTTCTGGCAGGCACCTTTCCCAGCTAACCTGTCTCTCCATCCCCAAGAACAATGTTCTATAGAAATTAAATCCCAAATCATTGGTGATTGGTGCAGTTGAAGGGAACGCAGCATGTAAAACTGGCCCATACATGCAGAACATCCTGGGGGGCTGGTGCATGGCTGCAGGCTTGGGAAGGCTCCACTGGGCAGATGAACTAAAGGGAAATCCGGGAGGGATATGAGGCAGAAGAACCTGAGGCCAGGCCTGGAGGTCAGAAGCAAAGTTTCTCCCCCAAAGGCAGCTAGGTGTAGGTTGTGGGGGCTAGAGTAGACTTGGGTACTGAAGACCCAGCTTCGGGCCTTGTGTGTTCAGGCAGCCTTGTTCACTACAGTGGGCAGGAGGTTAAACTGCCTCATAAACACACAGCAGGAGACCTGTATGCCGCTGGAATTTTTCCTGTAGCCATACAGAAAAAAAAAAGGGGAGGCAGAGAATTATACACTTTGCTGGAAGATATATATATGTATGACAGTGGTAGGGTGATTGTGAATGTTCAAGGCCCCATATTTGATTCCCTGGGACCATAAAAATAAATAAGTAGAAAAACAGAGCAAGTGTAGTGGCGCACTCCTTTAATCCCAGCACTTGGGAGGCAGAGGTGGGTGGATCTCTGAGTTCGAGACCAGCCTGGTCTACAGAGTGAGTTCCAGGACAACCAAGGGCTACACAGAGAAACCTTGTCTCAAAAAACTAAAAAAATAAGAAAGAAGGAAAGAAAAACGAACAGGTGAAGGGGCTGGTGAGATGGCTCAGGTGGTCAAGTGTTTTCTGTTTTTGACTTGAGTTCTGATCCCCCGGCATCCACATTAAAAAAGAGAAAAATAAATAAAATAACTAGATATGGTGTATACCTGCCATTATACCACTTTGGAGCCAGAGACAGAAGGATCCCTGGGACTTGATGACCAGCCAGTTTAGCTGAATTGGGGAGCTCTGGGAGAGAAACATTGTCTCAAAAAATTAGGGTGGAAATTGATGGAGGAAAGCATTGGATACTGGCTCCTCGCCTCCACACACACAAGCATAGCACATTCATACACATAAAAACTCATACAGCATAGGAGAGAAAAATAAAAAGTAACAGAGGCCGGGCTTGGTGGTTCAGGCTCTTCATCCCAGCACTTGAGAGGCAGAGGCAGGCAGATCCCTGTGAGTTCAAAGCCAGCCTGGTCTAGGTAGAGAAATCCTGTCTCAAAGAAATGAAAAATGAAATGTATTCCTTATCAGCTCACAGAGGCTGACTTCCTCTGTTTCTTCCTAGGCTAAATTTCCTCCTGCTAAAAAGATAAGTAATGTTTTGTCAGTAAAGGTCTCTTAGTGGACAGTTTATTTTGGAGGTCATTTGGTTGGTTTGTTGGGTACAGATATAGTTAGCCCTGGCTGGCCTCGAACTCCATATGTACTGCAAGTCATTTATTTATTTGTTTATTTTTGAGACAAGGTTTCCCTAGGCCTCAGGGCTGGGCCTGAGCTCAACCTGTCATCCAGACAGGCCTCCTGAGTTGCTAAAGTCACACACCTACTCACCAGGTGTCCAATTCCTTTGTTGCTTAACTTTGAAATCATATTTGTTATCTTTATTAATCCCAGCACTGGGGAGGCAGAGGCATGCATTCAAGGCCAGCCTGTATACAGAGCAAGTTTCAGGACAGCCAAGGCTACACAGAGAAACCTGTCTCAAAAAAACAAAAACAGTGCTGGGCAGTGGTGGCGCACGCCTTTAATCCCAGCATTCGGAAGGCAGAGGTAGGCGGATCTTTGTGAGTTCGAGGCCAGCCTGGTCTACAGATCGAGATCCAGGAAAGGTGCAAAGCTACACAGAGAAACCCTGTCTTGAAAAACCAAAACCAAAACAAACAAACAAAAAAAAACCCAAGAACAAAATTGTATTTATTTATCTATTCATTCATTCATTCATTCATTCATTCATTCATTCATGTGAGTGCGTGCATGTGTGCATGTGCGTGTGCGTGTGCGTGTGCGTGTGCGTGTGTGTGTGTGTGTGTGTGTGTGTGTGTGTGGCAGGGCTGGGGGAGATGCCATGGTGTATGGACATATGAAGCAAGAGGACGATGTTCATTCCACCACATGAAGCCCAGGGACCGAACTCAGTGTGGGGCTGTGCCGCGTGTGCTATTCTCTACCTGCTGAGGCGTCTCATCCACCTATGGTCTCCTTTTCATTTTTTTTTTAAGTTTGTTCGGGTTTTTGTTTGTTTGTTTGTTTGTTTTGTTTTTATGAGACAAGGTCTTACTTTGTAACTGTCCTGGAGCAAGCATGCTATGTAGATCAGTGGGCTTTGAACTCACAGACCTGCCTCTGCCTTGAGAGTGCTGGGCTAAAGGCATGCACTACCATGCCCAGCTAAAGGTTCATTCATTTTATTTTATGTGTATAAGTATATTGCCTGCATGCATATAAGTGCACTGTGGAGACCAGAAGAGGGTATTGGATCCCCTAGAACTGGAGGGTTACATGTGGTTATCAGCCTCCATATACCCACAGGTCCTCTGGAGGCTCTTAGCCTCTGAGCCATCTCTCCAACCCTCCTTTTATTTTTATTTTTTTATTTTATTTTACTTTATTTATTTATTTATTTTGGTTTTTCGAGACAGGGTTTCTCTGTGTAACTTTGTGTCTTTCTTGGAACTCACTTGGTAGTCCAGGCTAGCCTCGAACTCAAAGAGATCCACCTGCCTCTGCCTCCCGAGTGCTGGGATTAAAGGCATGCACCACCACCACCCGGCTTATTTTTATTTTTATTTATTTGTTTTTTATTTGTGCTTTTATGTTTCTTTCATTGTTGGTTTTTTGAGACAGGGTTTCTCTGTGTAGCACTGGCTGTCCTGGAACTCGCTCTGTAGACCAGGCTAGCCTCGAACTCATACCTGCCTCTGCCTCCCAAGTGCTGGGACTAAAGGCATATGCCGCCACCTCCACCCTGCCCTTCTTTTAATTCTTTATGAAGTATCTCCAAGACTTGAATAAAACTCTTGCAAATATAACGCTACCCTTGCTACTCATCAAATGAGTTCAAATTCCACGGCCCCTAGATGGAACAATCCCACATTATCTGTTTAGGAAATTTGTCTTTCTAGAGGAGTTTGCTTGCTTATGAACTTATTTGTTTGCTTTCTTATGAACTTTAATAATGCCTTGCACAATGTTTATTTGTCCTAAGTTTTTTCTCCAATATTCAGGACATGCTTATATTTAAAAAATGATTCATTCTCTGATATTCAAATTAACAGGACTTCTCTATCTTATATCTAGAGTACAGTTGTTAAGATGACTACGCATAGCCAAAGATGACTTTGAACTGAGTCTCCTGCTGTCACCCCCAAGTGCTGGGACTACAGGTGTGTGCCCCACACCCAGTTTATGCAGCGCTGGGGACTGAACCCAGGGCTTTGTGCACGCTAGGCAAGCTGCATTCCTTACATGAGTATAAAAAATTTTGATTTTGAGACAGAGTTTTACTATGTAGCCCAAAGTGGCCTCCAGTTCACAGAGATCTGCCTACCTCGGCCTCCCAAGTGCTGGGATTAAAAGCATGCACCATCACGCCCCACAAAACATAAAGCAGGTTTGGTGGTGCACACCTGTCTGTAATCCCAGCTGCTTTGGAACCTGAAATAGGAGGATCTTGACTTCAAGGCTACCTGTGGGACCATGTCTCAGAAATGATAAAAAAAAAACTGACCAGCAAGAAGTCTTAGTGAGTAAAAATGCTTGGTATGCAAGCCTGGTGCCCTGAGTTCAATTTCCAGAACTCACAGTAGAAGGAGAGAACTGACTCCTGACCTCCACACGCACTTTGTGGCACATACATTATCACATGTGAGTGCATACGTGTACATGTACTTGTGCACATGTGCACGTGCACACACACCCCAATAATAATAAATAATAGTAATAAATAATGATAAAATAAAAATAGTATCCCTAAATCTTCACTTCCATTTCTTTTTTAAAATTTTTATTTATTCATATTTTATGTATGAGTGCTCTGCATGTATGCATGCATACCAGAAGAGTGTATCAGATCCTATTACAGATGGTTGTGAGCCACCATGTGGGCGCTGGGAATTGAACCAGGTCCTCTAGAAGAGCAGCCAGTGCTCTTAACCACTGAACCATCTCTCTAGCCCCTCACTTCCATTTCTTATTGGTTTTGTTGTCTTGGCTGTTGGTCCCTGGGGATTCCCCTTGGCTGAAAAAGGAAATTTTAGGATTTGTCACTTTAGAAAACAAGACACCAAAAATCTTGCAGGTCACTTCTACTAATTGGAAACTGGAAGACTTGGCTTGGAGAAAAGGCTAAATGCTTGCCTACAAAATATAAATGGATACTTTCAGCATGTGGGCAAATGCTTGATTAGTGTCAGCCCTCAGGCGAGGTCATCACTGTTAACATCCAAAGACTCTTTTCTCCCTGTCTACAGCCAAGGCTTCTGTGCCAGACTCCGTAGAAGCCAAAGCGTGTCCATGGAGGGATGCTGGGGACTGGAGGTGACCAATGGCTCAAAGAGCGGCTTGGAGTTCAACCCGATGAAGGACTACATGATCCTGAGCGATGCCCAGAAGATCGCTGTGGCGGTGCTGTGTACCCTGCTGGGCCTGCTAAGTGCCCTGGAGAATGTGGCAGTGTTGTATCTTATCCTGTCCTCCCAGCGGCTCCGCAGGAAGCCCTCGTACCTGTTCATCAGCAGCTTGGCTGCAGCCGACTTCCTGGCCAGTGTGATCTTTGCCTGCAACTTCATCATTTTCCACGTCTTCCACGGCGTTGACTCCAAGGCCGTCTTCCTGTTGAAGATTGGCAGCGTGACCGTGACCTTCACAGCCTCTGTGGGCAGCCTGCTGCTGACTGCTGTGGATAGATATCTATGTCTGTGCTACCCACCCGCGTACAAAGCTCTAGTCACCCGTGGGAGGGCACTGGTGGCCCTTTGTGTCATGTGGGTCCTCTCGGCGTTGATCTCCTACCTGCCACTCATGGGATGGACCTGTTGCCCTAGTCCTTGCTCTGAGCTCTTCCCTCTCATCCCCAATGACTATCTCCTGGGCTGGCTCCTGTTCATTACCATCCTCTTCGTCGGCATCATCTACACCTATGGCTATGTTCTCTGGAAAGCCTACCAGCACGTAGCCAGCTTGGCAGAGCATCAGGACAGGCAGGTGCCTGGGATAGCTCGGATGCGGCTAGATGTGAGGTTGGCCAAGACCCTGGGGCTGGTACTGGCTGTTCTGCTCCTGTGCTGGTTCCCTGCATTGGCTCTCATGGGCCATAGCCTGGTCACCACGCTGAGTGACCAGGTCAAGGAGGCCTTTGCCTTCTGTTCCATGCTGTGCCTGGTTAACTCTATGGTCAACCCTATCATTTATGCCCTGCGAAGTGGAGAGATCCGCTCTGCTGCCCAGCACTGCCTGGTAGGCTGGAAGAAGTATCTACCGGGCCTCGGGACTGAGGGAAAAGAAGAAGTGCCAAAGTCCTCAGTTACAGAGACAGAGGCTGATGTGAAAACCACCGCGGTGCCTGGTTCCAGAAGTCCGGGCTGCTCCAATTGCTGACGGCACCATTTTTCCTATTGGAAACAGCCTGAGTGAGAAATCAGCTCACTCCCTCAAGGAGAGGGGCATCCCAGATCCTGAATCTTTCGGGAATCAGCTCTAGGGGACTGGACACAGACCCCTTTGCTTGACTTCATGGCTGGAGGTCATGTCTACCTGCACAGACCATGGCAGGCTCTCTTCACATCAAGTCAGGAGGGACCAAGAAGCCAGAGGGGCCTCCAGGAACCGTAATAAAGGATTCAGAGGCTATCTGAGAAGATGAAGGACCTGTTCTCCTGGGATCGCAGAGTACCCTGGCCATTGTGGTCACTGCCCACAAATTCATCAGTGTCCACGTCTTCTATGGTGTGGATTCCAGGCTGTCCTGCTGGAGACTGGCAGTGACAGCAGCGAGTTCTGGTTCCTGCTTCATTGTTTGGGACTCTGTAAAGCTCTGTGAGGGTCCACCTTCAGGTCACCCTTGCCTCTTGAAGATCAAGAAATACGGTGTGCTGAGGATCAAGGATGTTGACTCAGACAATCACAGGCTGTCAGCTCAGGGTGTCTTGTTGGGCAAGGGCCCTCCTGATACTCTGATAAGCCTTGAAGTCATTTCAGCTTTAGGTCCTTGGGGACCCAGAGGAGGCTGGGTTCACTGGAGGTACAGAATCTTCAGGGAACTGCATTGACCTTTTGACATTCTGCTGTGTGTAGTGTAGCACTATCCCAGGCTAGCCTAGCTCCAGTAAAATGCAAGATATTCACAAAGAGTCTCTGGGTCCTGGATTGCTCCCAGTGATGCTCAACTTAGCCTCCTTGCCTCTGCCACACTCTGGTCCTGCAGGTAGAGGGAGCTGGAGAGGGGAGACTTCCTGCAGTGGTCCAGGCACAGGCTGACATCCTCTATCCGCAGCTCCATGCTGTGTCCCCATGTACCTGAATTTTACCTTCACCAAGGGGCATCCCCAACAGAGGGAGGTTCAAGACACTGCTGGAGGCAGGAGGGGTAGCCTGGGGACCTCAGCACCGTGAAGGGAAAGCTCTCCATTAAATGTCATTGAACACTTACAGAGCGATGTGTTCCCTGCCCATTTGCTCCTTCATAATATGTGTATCATAAATATGGGGGGGGGGGGCGCTTTGGGCCAGTCCTGGAAATCCCGCTATGAAGGAGACGGACCCCATCTGGGGCTTGCAGTCTACATTCTGATAAGAAGTGAGTCAGGGATGCTGAGCCTGGAGGCAAAGGACTGCCAATTCCAGCTCCTTAAGAGGTTGAGACTGGAAGTTCCTAAGTTCAAAACCTGCCTGAGCTGTATATGGAGTTCAAGTTCGGTTTAGGCAAGTTGGTGGGATCCAGTATCAAAATGAAAAAAATAAACAAAGGGCTGGAGCTGGGCACAGTGGTGCACAAATACAACCCCGGTGTCCAGGTAGAACTGCTGAAAGTTTAAGGTCAGCCTCACATAGATGAAAAACTGTCTTTTTTTTTTTTAAAATGTGTAGGGGTGTTTTGCTGCATGTATGTCTGTGTACCACATGTATGTCTGGTGCTCCCAGAGACCAGAAGAGGGCATCAGATCCCTTAGAACTGGTGTTACCAGACAGTGGTAAGCTGGCATGTGGGTGCTGGCAATCAAACCTGGGTCCTCTGGAAGAACAGCCAGTGCTTTTAACCTCTAACCATCTCTCCAGCCCTGAATCCAGCTCTTAAACACTTTCTACTTTTGCTTTAAGTAGAGAGGCAGAGTTTATGAAGGGGAAGAGGAAGGCAAGGGCCCTGGGTAGAGATGGGAAATAGCCTTGTTGTTTAGATGATGATCCAGCCAGCGAGGAGACCTGCCGATGGCCCAGAGAAACCAATGAGGTCCAGTGCAAAAACCTCAGCCTCCCTGATAGCACAGGTCAGTCCACTCTGCTACAGACCCTCCCACAGGCCTCTGCAAGACGACATTTTGGTTTCTCTGTGGGGTCAAATGAAGGACAGAGTACCCCATTTTATTCCCCCCAAGACAAGTTCTGTGCATCAAAAGTCATTGCAAATTCTAATCGCTGTTTGGAAGGATGAAGGGGGAGAAGTTGATTGTTTCTTTAAAGCCCTCCGTGCTTAGTGTTTTAGAGCATATTTCAACATTAACAGAAAATACCCCACATTTCCTCATTACTCCCTAAAGGAGGAAGCCCTTGGTCTGTCAACATAAGCCCTGATTTTCTCCAAGGTGCCAGACAGAGTGGGTGGAGAGATGGCTTCCACTGCTGTGAATTCTGGCACCACCTTTGGCCTACACTTTTGTGATCTTGGGCACCCCCCCTGCCCTTCTCGTCTTGATTTCCTCCTTGGTCAGTTGGGAAAGGTAGGGAAGAGGATCCATAAACCTCTTATTGCTCTAGCATGCAGTGGTTGCCTCAGCAACCATGGAGCCAGCCGGTTGTGCCACATGAACCATGTGACTTCTGGCTTGCATACTTCCTGCAGCTATGAACACACACACACACACACACACACACACACACCATTGGGTGTGTGCTGACAGTAGAGGAACCAGGTGGCTTGTCAAACAAGTTTTGCAGAGGTTCCTGGAGCAAGGGGGTCTCTTGGCTCTCAAGTTTCTGCTCCTGCTATTCTAAAAATCGTGTCCCAGTGGCCCTCTGTGGGTTTCTTGGGTGGCGCTGGATTGAACTCCAGGCCTTCCAACATGCTAAGTAAGTGCTCTACTCCTGAACTACACCCCAGCTCCTGGGTGTAGAAGCTAAGCTCTCTGAGAGGCCCTCAGGGGTTTTAGGGTGCAGCTCAGTGCTAGAGTGCTTCCTTTGCATGGTCAAATCCCTGGGGTTCAAAGGCCAGTACTGCATAAAACCAGGCGTGGTGGTGCCACTCCGACCAGCACTCAGAGATAGAAGCAGGAGGATCAGGAATTCAAGGTCATCCTAGCTGTGAATTCGAGGCCAGCCTGAGCTGCATAAGACCCCCCCCCCATGTCAAAATAAATTTCAGTTACAATTTAAAATTAAATTAAAATGTTTAAATGACTCAGAGTTCTCAAAGTAAGTTCAATAAACGAGACAGGCCAAATAACCACGTCTACCCTTCCTCTTTCAGCAGCCATTTCTCTGTCTTCATAAAGTTTCTGCCTCGTTATTTCTATATCTTATGCAGCTCGGCAATCGGCTAAGCGCCACCTGCCGGCAAAGAAACCACGGCTCCTAATTAGCCATTAAATAAATAAAACAATCCGGTTTCGGCCTTCTCCTGAGGATTAGGGCAATAACGTGGGCTACTCCCTTTTCTCCGCACTCCCTGCGTCTTTCCCGCTTAGGGAAGCCGGCAATCAAGTCCCTAGCGGAGACTGTGGGGTTTAAATTCAATAGATCAGAGCCATCAACGCCTGTTTGCGTCCTTCTCTCGTTCAACGCCAGAGGGCGCTCCAGAGATGGCGCCTCGGACGGCACACGGGACCACAAGATTGACCCCGCCCCTTTCCCCTTCCGAGCCAATCGCCACTCAGAGAGGCGGAGCTACTGGACGGCGCCTGCGCGTTAAGAGGGACGGTGCGGACACGGAAGCAGGGATGCGGGAGCTGAAAAGTGAAGGGTGGGCGGTGGGTACCGCGCTGCTGCTGCTGCTGCTGCTGGCTCCTGCGGCCCAGGCAGTGGCCCAGCGCCGCTACACCGCGGACTGGCAGAGCCTGGACTCTCGGCCACTGCCGAGATGGTTTGACGAGGCCAAGTTCGGGGTGTTTGTGCACTGGGGGGTGTTCTCGGTGCCCGCCTGGGGCAGCGAGTGGTTCTGGTGGCACTGGAAGGGCGAACGGAATCCAGCCTATGAGCGCTTCATGAGAAAAAACTACCCGCCCGGCTTCAGCTACGCCGACTTCGGACCGCAGTTCACGGCGCGCTTCTTCCACCCGGACCAGTGGGCCGAACTCTTCCAGGCTGCCGGGGCCAAGTGAGTGCGGGCGGGGCGCGCGGCGGGACGGGGCAAGCCCACGGCCGGCGCTGCCTGACCGCCGAAGGCCCCGCACCCCGCGTTCTGCATCCTGGAGGATGGAGCATTAATGCTAAAGAAGAGAGTCCAGCTCGGGATTAGTTTTAAAATGAAGGCGGGAAAGCACTGGGTACTCTAACAGTATGGAGAGAGACCAGAGCCAGACCACACACCCCGTGTCTCTTCTAAAAGGGCTGGAACACAGCCTGGATTCCTGTCAGTTGTAGACCTGGACCAGTCGTCACCTTAGGCTACCTGCGGCGTCCGTGGAAGGTTATAAAACGAAGCTGCCTGAGTTCCTTGTAGCCCTGTGTGTCTCTAAATGGAGAAGGAAGGATGGGAGTTTTGGGTTCTCCCTCACCTTCTGACTTCCTTGTGGTCGAACTCTAAGGAGGGATGGGGTTGTTTGGGCAGAGCCTTCCAGAGGAAGTACGTTTTGAGAGCATTATAAATAAGTATGGTGGCGCACGCCTTGGATCCCAGCACTCAGGAGGCAGAGGCGGGCGCATCTCTGTGAATTTTGAGGCTAGCCTGGTCTACAAAGCAAGTTCCAGGATAGCCAGGACTGTTACACCGAGAAACCCTGTCTCGAAAAACAAAAACAAAACAAACAAAAAAGTATTTGCCATTACATGCCATTACAGGAATACAAGGCCTGAGGAAACAGGAGTCTATCTTTTAGCGAGCATCTCTGAGGTCCATACTTGACAAATAAAAAGGGTGAACTCCAGCCTCTTTCCAGACTCCCTGCTTTGTGAATGAGGTCACTAGCCCAGAGAGGAAGGAGCCTGGTGTTCTAGACTGCAGATCTTGTGACCTGGAGATAAGACTCTTGACCACTGCACCCAGGGGCTGCAAGCCATACCCAGAAGGACTAGTTGGTAAAACAAGCGGCTTCCATCTGTCACCTGCTCTTGCCAACAGAGCAGGGCAGAGGGTTGAAGAAAGTTCATTACTTACGCCCAGAAGGGTTGAGTCTGTGAGCCAAGGTGCACAATTTTGTCTTGCCACCCTTCCCTCCCCTCTGGGGATCCAGGGCCTCCTTCCATTATTGAGTCATACCTACAAGGGAATATTGTCACTGTGAAAACATCTTAGCTGTTGCAGTGACTCATCCAGTACATCTCCTGTCATCGAGATCTTTCCGCCATACTGGGCAAGGTCATGGTTGTGGTCACTGCCCGCTTCCTTTGTTTTCATTTGGTTTTCATGTCTACAGGTATGTGGTGCTGACCACAAAGCATCATGAAGGCTTCACAAACTGGCCAAGTCCTGTGTCTTGGAACTGGAACTCAAAGGACGTGGGGCCCCATCGTGATTTGGTTGGTGAGTTGGGAGCTGCTGTTCGGAAGAGGTATGTGTCTGTAGACAGCTAGCCTTCCTACGGTCTTAACCATCCATCCCTCCAGATCTCGTCTTGTTTGTCTGCTGGGGGCATATTTAGCCAGTGAGGAGGTGGGCTCCCAGACCTGGGGTTTGAGATTTGGCAGTTTTCACGAGTCCAAAGGTGATAACAATGGAAAAAGTTCACAGTGGGGTGTAGGACACTCAGAGTAGACTATGATGGTCCATTTGCAGCCTGCTGAAGATTCCCATGGAAACTTGCAATACAGAGCCTTTTCTCCCAAAATTTTTTATTTTATTTATTTATTTATTTATTTATTTATTTATTTATTTATTTATTTATTTTTTCAAGACAGAGTTTCTTTGTGTAGCCTTGGCTATCCTGGAACTCGCTCTGTAGACCAGGCTAACCTCAAACTCACAGAGATCCACCTGCCTCCACCCCCTGAGTGCTGGGATTAAAGGCCTGAGCCACCACTTCCCAGCTTAGAGCCTTTTCCAGTATGTGACGGGCCAGGGACTGGGTCTCACCTTTCTCCTCAGTAGCCACCAGCACCCACCCTGCACAGAGCTGTTCAGGCCTGAGGGCAAGCTCTGATAATGGCAGATCGCATTCGGTGATTCTAGCACTTGGGAGGCAAAGGCAGGAGGGTCAGGAGTTCAGGGCTGGCCTTAGATATAGACTGAGTTTGAGGCTAGCCTGGACTACAGAAGATTGTATCTCAGAGAGCTAAATAAA